GCTCAGGGCTTGCCTGGATGCTAGCTGGCCCTTACGTTTTTGCTCAAGGCTGACACTTTACCACTTGAGCCACAGCTCTACTGTCAGCTTTTTGATGGTTAATTGGAAATAAGAGTCGCTAAGGAGTTTCCGGCCTCATGTGGGTTTGAATCAAGAGCCTCAGGGCCTCAGATCTCAGCCTCTTGAGTAGGATTACAGGTATAGGCCACCAATGCCAATGCCTGTCTGTATTTCTAGTTTTGAGACAAGGTCTCACTAATTTTGCCCAGTCTGGCCTCTACCTCCAGATTAGCTGAGATTATAGACATGTACCACCACATCCGGCCACTTTGCTCCTTTTTCTTTTCTTTATACTTTTTTTCTTTTTTCTTTCTTTTTTTGGTCTGTCGTGGGGCTTGAACTCTGGGCTTAGATGCTGTCCTTCAGCTCTTCAGCTCAAGGCTAGCGCTCTACCACTTAAGCCACAGCACCACTTCCAGTTTTCTGGTGGCTAATTGGAGATAAGAGTCTCAAGGACTTTCCTGCCTGGGCTGGCTTTGAACCATGATCCCCAGATCTCAGCCTCCTGAGTAGCTAGGATTATAGGCATGAGCCACCAGCAACCACTCCCTTTGCTCCTTTTTACAGCAGCTTTACACTGGAGAGAATATTTCCCAGTGTGAGATTCTTACTGATCTCATCCTTATTTAGGGTGAATATCAAGTGCTTTTGGTAATTTTAAGTATCAGAAAAAGGGGAGGCAGTTGGAAAGAACTAAGCCTACAAACATATGAAATCTATGAATAATAGCATTTTAATGGCTCATCTATTTCGAAAATGACAATATGCCCCATGAGTAACTAAGATCTTTTTATTTGAAGTCTAATTACACTTGTAAGCAGAACAATATGATTTTCTACGACCCAGGAAGGACTTCCGGTTAAAATTCTGCAAGTTTTCTTGAGAGACAAGACAGGAGGGTTACCTCCCCTTTCCTCCCCAAATTTCTGGACCTGGGTGTCCCCACCTCCTGCCCCAGATTCTGTGAGAACTTTATTCACCCTGCCTGCCCAGCCCAGCAGCCTGCCTGCCCCACCGGGCAGAGAGGAGAGCTGTGTGTCTGTGGGTGCATATTAAACGCGGCCTGGCCTCTTCCTTCCCGTGGTCCTTGTCACTTCCAGGATACTTCTCGCCTCGTTTTGGATAAATCAGATTCAGGCCTTTTTTTTTTTAAACTTCAGGTTTAATTTCTTATGAAAACATTAGAAAGCTGAGTCTGCTCTCCCTTGGGGACCGGCCTCCTGTCCCCAGCAGGCACCACACTGGGAAGTCAGCGCCCTGGGGGAAGGGAGAGACTTTCTCAAAGCCCCTGCCTGCCTGGCTCAGCTTCCTCTGAGCCCGGATGCAAGTCACCATCTCTCGATGGAAGCCAGACCCTTCAGGGATGAAGCCATGGAGACACAGTGACAGGTTGCCTGGAAAGAAGGCATGGCCAGAGCCCACGACGGGGCCACGCAGGACCCCAGCTGAGCCCTGCACAGCGCGCGCGCGTGTGTGTGTGTGTGTGTGTGTGTGTGTGTGTGTGAACACACACAGGCCTGGGCTTGAACTCAGGGTCTGGGCATTGTCTTTGAGCATTTCTGTTCATGGCTAACACTCTACCACTTGAACCACTCTACCACTTCCAGCTTTGGTGGTGACCTGGAGATAAGAGTCTCACAGACTCAAGTCTGGAAGTGTGGCTCAGTGGGTAGAGTGCTAGCCAATGACCAAAAGCATTAGGTACTGAGTTCTGGTCTCAGACCAGAAAGAAAAGACTTTCCTGCACAGGCTAGCTTTCAGCCTTTGTCCTCAGATCTCAGCCTCCTGAGCAGCTAGGATTACAGGCGTGAGACACGGACACCCGGCCATTCTTAGCATTTTGAAAGCATCAATTCACGTAATCCTCATAACCTCCAGTGAACAGCAATATCATTGTGTGTGCACACATGCGTGTGGCCCCCCCCCCCACACTGATATTGGGGCTTGAACTCAGGGTCTGGTGATCTGGCTTAGCTTTATTTCATTCAAGGCTGATTCTGGGGGAAGAAGGGGAAACCTTGCCTCTCCTCCGCTGCCTTGGCCGTGGAGTGACCAGTCCAGTGGGACTCCACGTCACTCATGTGGGAGCCGCCCATCTGGGCTCTTTCAAGGAGGCAGGAAAGTGGAGGCCTGGAGACGGTGGCTCTGAAAAGCAGGGTGCGTCTCCACTCTCTCCCACGACCCCTCCAGCTAAGATGACCTCCTAGAGATGGAGGATCCGGTTCTTCATGTTCAAATATACTGCAGCAGCGACTTCTCCACACCCACCCCACCTGCCCACCCCTCCCTCCAGACAGCAGCCCTGGAGCCTAGGCATGCTTTGGACACCCACAGATGTCTCGCTCCGTTGTCTTATTTGCTGTGCATCCTCCGGCAAAGGACTCTACTTCTCTGAGCCTTCTCATTTAAAAAGAGATTCCTATTCCTTCCCATTACCTACGTAGGGTGCTTGTTGTGTGGTAAGTTTTGTTACTGTTGTTTTTAAGCAAAGGTCAGCTCCATTTCCCTTCCCCCATTCCCAGCAGTCTTGGCTGCTGAGCCCATGGCAGGCCTCCCATCGGCCCCCACCAAGCTGTGACGCGGCTGAAGTTTCTCTCTTGGGTAAGTGACAGGTTCAGGGAGGCAGAACGGAGGAGCGAGGCCGGGAGCTCACAGGGCTGGACTGCAAGGCCGATTCCCAGGCTGGGGAGTCAGGCTGTGGTTCACTGATGTGGATTCTCTGGCCTTTCCCCGGTCCCCCGGGGGAGGCCCTTACTAGGGGAGTGGATCCTGCTGCCCCCCGCCCCCCCCCAGCACCCCCCTTCACTGCAGCCCCATGCTGGGGCAGGATTCAGGGCAAGGGAGGGAAGCTGGGGTGGAATTACACAACTGGAATTCTTAACTCCTTCTCACAGAGGTCAGGGCCGTGAGGGGCTGTTCTGCGGGTGTCTGTCCAGCTGCCCCTGTCCGCCAGCTTCACAGGTGGAGAAGCAGAAGCTGGGGGAGGGCTGGCTTCCAGAGCCTCGCGGAGGGAGGGTGGGCGTGGCTGGCTGGACGTGGGGTGGGGCCCACTCAGGCGTGACTGCCACCTGCTTCCTGCCCCCTCTGTCAACAGGTGCGGCTGGAACAGCGGCGTGCCACGCGACGGCCTCATCTCACATCTACAAAAGACCTAGGGACATCCGGACAATGCGTGCCCCACGGATGGCCCACGGTGGAGAGTAACAAGAGCTATCCCCGCCCACCGGGCCAGTCACAGCAGCAACCCTTATCGATTTATTTAGACACAGTCTCACTGTATTTCCCAGGCGTGTCTTGAACCCTTGGGCTTGAGCAATCCTGCTTCAGCCTCTGAAGTAGTAGGGGACTATAGGTGTACGCTACAGTGCTTGGCTTCCCTAACAAGTTGTTTCTTGGTGGTTTTTTTGCTTGTTTGTGTGACAGGGATTTGTTAAAGACCCAGACTGGTCTTTAACCTGGTATGTTCCACCACACCCAGACCCCAACTAGTGTGTGTGTGTGTACCAGTACTAGGGCTTGAACTCAGGACCTCAAACAAGTGGGTTTTTTTCACTCAAGGTTGGCACTCTACCGCTTAAGGTACACATCCACATCTAGCTTTCGGCTGGTTCATCAGAGACAAGTCTCTCAAATGTGGCTTTGAACCAGGATCCTCAGACCTCAGCCTCCTGAGTAGCTAGGATTAGAGGCGTGAGCCACCGTGCCTGACTCACAAATCAGTCAGAAGAACTGAAAACCTTTCCACCTGAGAACTCAGACCTGGGGAGCCTGGCGGAGCCAGCTGGCCGTGTCTGTGACCTGGCCATTCTTCCCGAAAGACACACAGCTTGGGACACTCTGCGAGGAGGGCCAGGACAGGGGGAGGGGGGACAGTGCCACCCCCTCCGGGCTTTCCACGGGAAGCCCGTGCACCCCGTGCCGGTGAGGGGCCTGCGGGGGTCAGAGGCGGGGTGCTGGCCGGGAAAACCACAGGGAGAACACGGCTTCGTAGCAAACCCACTTTAATGGCGAGTGTACAGAGTTCCGGGTGGTGGGGTGTGACCATGGGGCCAGGCTGCAGGGTCCGGCGGTCAGGGGGGTGGCTGGGGCTGCTGGGGGTGCACACATGGGTGGGGCAGGCTGGGGCGCAGAGCTGGGCCGGGAAGTGTGTGTGCTGGCGTGTGCAGACATACGGACGCGTACATACACAGAGACACCCTCGGCATCCCACTCAGGGGAGAGGGTGGGGGTGGATGCCTTGAATCCCAGCAGGCCTGGGGGGCTGAGGACGCCCTCTGGAGAGCTGCCCACCACAGCCCACACTGAAGGTCCGGGGTGGTCCCTCTTCTGCTGCTTCCAGGCTCGCGGTGTGACCCAGGGGGAGTAACTGACCCTCTCTGGGCCTTGGCAAAACCCCAGAGGACTACTATGGTTTCTTGTGATCTTAAATGTCCGTTTATTTTTCATTTTCATTGTTGGTGCTGGTCGTGGGGCTTGAACTCACGGCCCGCTTAGGTTGTTTTGATCAAGGCTGGCGCTCTACCACTTGAGCCACAGCTCCATTGCTGGCATTTTGCTGGTCAACTGGAGAGTCTCGGGGGCTTTCCTGCCCGGGCTGTGCTGTGATCCTCAGATCTCAGCCTCCTGAGTAGCTGCATGACAGGCGTGAGACACCAGTGCTAGCAAACTTCATTATATTGAAGGAGATTAGATGTATTTATTCGGAACTGGGAACAGGGACGGGGTGGGGGGGCTTTGGGGAGCAGGTTCAAAGCCCAGCACACCCAGCTGGGTGTGTGGGGCCCACCAGTGGGAGCTTTCCTCCACCCTCCCTCATCTCCCTGAACTAACTGGGCTTGTCTCCTTCCCCCCCGATCCTCAGTCATCCTGTCTGAGAAATGGGAGCAGGAGAGGCCCCCAGCACAGCTGTGGGTAACTGTGCTGCTCAGTATGGGCTCAGCATCCAGCCCCAGACGACCCCAGCACCCTGCCTGGGACAGACAGGGACTCGGAACTGGAATGGGGCTGCAGAAAGGTGGTATGGCGGGTCACTAGGCTCTAGGGGGTGCAAACAACCTGGGTCTATGGCTAACACAACCAGGAACAGCTTCAAAACGACAAGCACACGTCACGTGGGCGGGACGGCAGAAGACTGGCGCAGGACCAGTCTCAGTCTCAGAGATGCAGCACACAGGCCACCGGCTCCATATTGGGGCAGCCCAGGGGCCAAGCAGGAGGGCTGAGTGGACGTGACTGAGCAGAGGGGGGAGCTGCAGGCCGGGAGGGAGCCCCTCCCCATCCGTGTCCACGCCGACCCCACCAGGGGAGCAGGAGGCCGCTCGTGTCTGGATGTCCGGTGGTTTTGTCCGGATCTGTATCAGGAGGCTCCGTGTGACACAAGGCTCCTGGCCTCTCTGGCATCCATGTTTCTCCCAACTTGAGCCTCTGGGTCAGCGCTGACTTCTCCTCAATTGGCCTCCTGTCCTCGAAGATCGGGCCTCCCGTGGAGGCCAGGGCCACAGGGAGCCAGGGACAAGAGGCCTCAGGGAAGAGACACGAAGGCAGGAGGGTGGACGGAGCATCTTGGGGCCTCTGGGCTGGTCCCCCAGGGCGCCCATGGCTGGGGGAATGTGGGCAGCGGGCATCTGGGGCCACCTCCCTGAAGGCACTGCCCCGGGGCCCTCCCCAGCGTCCCTGCCGCTCACTGGATGGCACACTTGTCCCTCTCTCGGGCCTGGCCCTCTCGCAGGACCTTGGCCTTGATGTACTTGAGGTCACTGTTGACGCTGGGGCGGCGGGCGAAGGGCGACACCATGCCGTAGGCATCCATGTCCTTGACGCGGCGGATGCAGAAGGGCCGGGGGTGGAAGGCGTCGCCGTACTGCACGGAGATCTTGCGGTGCAGCGCGGGGCTCATCTCGTGCGGCAGCTTGGCCATGCTGAACAGCACGTAGAACATCTCGTCCACGTTCGTGTTCTTCTTGGCCGACACCTCGAAGTAGGCACAATTCTCGTCTCCAGACACCAGCAGCTCGGCCTCGGTGCTGGGCACCTGGCGGCACAGCTCGCTGTGGTCACTCTTGTTGCCGCAGATGACCATGGGCAGCTCCGCCGCCTCCTTCGTCTTGTTCTTCAGGCAGGACTTGACCTCCAGGATCTGCTTCTGGAGGCGCTTGACCTCGTCAAAAGACTCCCGGCTATCCAGGCTGAACACCAGGATGAAGACGTCACCTACAGAGAGAGCCCAGCGGGTGAGTGACAAGCGGGGCCCGCCCCTGGGCAGTTCCTGGGCCAATAAATGGCCGTGATTGCCCCCAGCTGTCAGAGCAGGAAGTTGAACCAAGGGGTTCAAACCCTCATTCGTGGCTCATGCACAAAGCAGCCCAGCTCAAATAGGATCAGCCCACCTGGCACTTCCTGTGGACTTTCACAGACTATGAGACTATTCGCCACGCATGGTGGCTCACGCCTATACTCCTAGCTACTCAGGAGGCTGAGATCTGAGGATCATGGCTTGAAGCGAGCCTGGGCAGGAACGTCCTTGAGACTCTCATCTCCAATTAAGCACCAAAAAGCCAGAAGTAGAGGTGTGGAGCTCAAGTGATAGAGCACCAGCCTTAAGCTAAAGAGCTAGGAGATTGGCACCCTGGCCCTGAGTTCAAGCCCCAGAACTGGTGCACACCTGTGCACAACCACACCCCCGCCCTATGAGGATAACAATGATCGGCCAGCTGTGCAAGCTGGGGTCTTGCCCAGCGCACATGCCCAGAGCCTGCTGTATACCTGACACAGTGGAATCCGGCCAATACCGGTGGCCGCAGTGTGGTAGCACGTGTTGGGCGGGGGGAGGTGTGGATCACATCTGGAATTCCTCTGTTTACCAGCCATGCAGCCTGGAGCAGGGCCCTACCAACTCCCGAGCCCTCGGTGTCCCCATCTGCACCAGCTGAATGCAACATGGCCTGGCGGGGCTCTTTGAGGGCTGTCACAGATAACAAAGGCAGGGTGGCTCCCTGCCTTTCCAGGCACTGGTAACGGCACCTGGTACCTACTGGGTACCCAGCACCCATTCCACCCCTGATACTTCATAACACCTCCACGGGGAGATGTTCCTACTTTCCTGTGAAAGGTGAGCAAAACCAGACTCAGAAGGGGCAAGCAACCTGCCCAAGATCACACAGCTTCACTGTGGCTAGGACAGGGCTACAACTCCGCCCAATGCTGGCTTCATGCTGGCGCACAGGCCGTGTTCTGGGGCTTCTGGAGCAAATCATGGGATGAACAAGAGAATGTGGCCCCCATTACCCATACTACCCCCTTCCAAGGCCCACCTACGTCCACCGGAGCTCACGGCCTCCCTCAGACCCGGCTCTTACTGCAGAGGGGCTGGGAGAGGGGAGGGTTCAGAACCTGAACAGCTTCACCTCTATGATCTCATTTGCCTAGCCTCTCCCTCACTTTTGCTTCCGGGATACTGGGGTTTGAACTCAACACCTCACACTTGCTAGGCAGGTGTTTCTACCACTAGACCCTCACACTCAGCCCCTTAGCTTTAGTTATTTTTTGGATAAACGATCCATGTTTCTTTTTCTTTGCTTCTCCTAACCAGCTCCTGAGTAGCTGGCATTACAGGTCCACACCACCACAACTGGCCCCATTACTTAACTTTCAACAACCCCATGTGTGTAGACCCAAAGCTGCTTGGGGGCAGTGGTGGGGACAGGCAAGCAAAGCGGGGCCTGGGACTCGGGTACCAGTCTGCACCCCCAGGGAGAGAGCAACACCCTAGTTTCTGGGCCCCAGAGCTGCTTCTGGCCCCCCTGAAAGGCACACACCACACTCGGACCAGTGTTCTCGTCAAGGGCAAGCTCTGGACAGCAGGAACCGGGGACTGGCCCCTGCCGCCCGTCTCCCGGAGCCTGCCTGCGGCGGCTGAAGCTGTTCTCAAAGGCACCAGTAAGGGAGCTTCAGCCTGCCAACCCCATCAAAGCCAGGCTGATCTCAGGGTCTCTGAGGACTCAATATTCAAACACGAGGTTGCAGGTGCCAGGCATCAGGGCCTGCCCTGGCCTCACAGCCAGTCCGCAGCCAGAGGGAGAGCTTGGCCATGAATGGCTCTCAGAATTTCCTGAGTCCCGGGCTCCAGGTTGGGAAAAGAGGCCCAGGCTTGGGAGTGAGCAGAACAGCGGCAGTCCTATGTGCTCAGAATGTTGCTGCGGGCTCTGGCTGCTGCCGGGAGGCAGAGGGGAATGGCGACATGGTTGCAGAAGGCCCACACCACGCCGATGGAGCCCCACTTCTAGGAAGGTAAGAGCTGGGGAGGGGGCCCTGGCCCAGGGCTCTGGCCTAACATAAAATATAGACTAATGTCTCTTTATATCAGAGGCCACTCAGACCCCTCCCAACGGCTGGGAGAGCTACCCACACGCAACACTGAGCTTGCGCTGGGTGCTGCTGTCCCCCAACCCTCCCGGACCCTTTATCCTCACAGCTCTACCAGGGAGTGAGGCCAGGCCCACTGATAGGACACACAGCTGTCTCCAAGTGACAGATCCAAGATTTGAACCCAGGCCCAGCCAGCGATCCTCTACTTGTACATTCCATCTCCAAAATCTGAGGACAATCAGGAACACCAAGGGAGGTTTGGCAAGGAAGGCCTGGAGGAGGGAGCCCGCCCATCACCCATCAGAGAGGGTTGGGCAGGGCACAGGTCTGTTTGGTTTTAAGGTACTGGGATTTGAACACAGGGTTTCACACCTGCTAGGCAGGTGCTTAACTAACCACATCCCCAGTCCACTTTCCCTTTAGTTAATTTTCAAGTAGGCACTCTCTCTCATTTTTTCTTTATAGCCCAGGTCTGCCCTTAGACCAAGTCCTCCAACCTCTAGCCTTCCTCATAACTAGGATGATAGGAATGCTCTACCATACCCAGCTCGTTGGTTGAGGTGGGGGAAATCTCTCAAGCTTTTTTTCCCAAGCTGGCCTCAAACTATTATCCTCTAGATCTCGGCCTCCAGGGGAGCTGAGAATACAGGTAGGTGTGAATGACCACACTTGCATGGCAAGCATTTCTTGTGGGACTTTCTAAGTTGGCAGTTGTCTGGATGATGGTTAGCGAGGTACTTGCCCTAGGGAAAAGGGACATGATTGTGTGCCCACATCAAGCACACTACAAATGCCAGCTCCATTTAAGACCAATGATTACAGAGCACTTAGCTTCTGCTCATCAAGCACCTGAAAGATTCCTCAGCTACTTTTACCAGCACCGTTGAGCTTCTGTCTAATGCAATGAGAAACAGGCCTGGGGAGACAGGGTCACTAGCCCCAGGGCCCCAGGAGGCAGTGGACCCAAGACTAGGCCCCGGGCAGTGGGGTACAGGGACCCACTCTCTCACCTACCACATTCAACCACCTGAACAGCCTTGCTGGGCGCCAGTGGCTCACGCCTGTCATCCTAGCTACTCAGGAGGCTGAGATCTGAGGATCATGGTTCAAAGCCAGAGGGGCAGGAAAGTCCATGAGACTCTTATCTCTAATAAACCACCAGAGAACCAAAAGTGGCTCTGTGGCTCAAGTGGTAGAGTACTAGCTTTGAACTGAAGAGCTGAGGGACAGCGCCCAGGCCCAGAGTTCAAGCCCCAGGACAAAAAAAAAAAAAAAAAGGAACAGCCAAGGCCATGTCACCAGGAGCCCCTGGGCCCCACCGTGGCCTCCACCTTTCCCTGTGGTGGCCCCCAGCAGGGCAGAGGCCATGGGGGCTAGCTCAGTGTTGGCCCCCAGAGCCTGGCCATGCTTCTACCTGAAGCAAGTTCCATAACCCCCCTGGCTCGGGCTCCCTGCTTGTGGAATAATGGTAGATCACACAGGGAAGCTTCCAAGTGGCAGGGCCAGGATTTGAACTCACCTTCTAAGTGGGCTATGAGGAGTCAGCAAAGCCATATAAGTGCAGGGGAGCACCAGCCACTGCATCTCAGCTCTGCCAACACCCCCAGCCCCTGCCCTGGGCCCGGCCCCCAGATCACTCTGGGAGGACAGCAGGCCACCATCCCCTGGTAGAAAGCCAGTGCAGCTTCTACTAACCTGACCAACACCACAAGGACCAGCAGGAAGTCCTCAAGCCTCCACAAAGCTGCCCAGCCCACAGGCCCACGCCTTGCCCTGCAGCCACCCCACGCACGCACGCACGCACACACACGCACACACGCGCGCGTGCTCACCTGTGAGGATGGACAGCCTGCGCATGGCAGGGAAGGGGTGGTTGCCCGAGGTGTCCAGGATGTCCAGCTGGTACATGTCGCCCCGGATGTTGTAGACCTTGCGGTGGAAGTCCTCGATGGTGGGCGTGTACTGGTCCTCGAAGCGGCCATTCAGGAAGCGAGAGACGATGCAGCTCTTGCCCACCCTGGAGGCGCCCAGCACCACCATGCGGTACGAGTTCTTGGCAGGCACGCTGAGCGTGCAGCTCCCGCTGGACAAGGTCTTCATCATGGCTCGGGGCTGCAACAAGAATGGGGGGGGGTGCGTCAAGAAGCTTTGGCCTGGCCCTGCCCCTGCTGCCCCCTGTGCAGGCCCCATCTAGGGCTCAGGCTTCTGCCTGTAAAACGGAGACGTAAAGCCCCTGTTCTCTAGAGACCCCAGCTTCCAGCCACTCGTCCATTCATTCATGCGTTAATCCCCTCCTCTTTCTTTCTCTCTCTCCCATGACAACCGTCCTCACAACCCCAAGGACTTCTGCTTCTGGGGGAATCCAGAACTTTCTCTGAGAGCTTCTTTTGGCTTTGTGGAAGAGGCAAAAACAAACCCAAGCTCGAGATGCAAAGTGGGGCTCAGCAAACCACCCTGGCTCCGTCAAGCCCAGGCTCAGGCCCACCAAAGGCCATCCACCCCCCAGCCAGCCCTCTGCTGGCTCAGCACTGAGACCCCCAGACCCTCCAGGAAGTCACCCAGGCAACCAAGCTAGGCTGAGATCTAAAGGGCACCCTCAGGACTGCATAGAACACGGTCCAGCTGACATAGCGACCCCTTGGGAGGTCAAGACAGGTTGAGCAGGTTGGTCCCCGCACAAGGTGCCCAGCTGAGTGCATCCCAGAGGAAGGAAGGGGTTTCTCTAGGTAGCCCCCTCTCTCAGAGAAGGCCCTGCTCCTTGATTCCAAGGGCCCTACTGCTAAATCTGGTCCCCACCCTGGGAGGCCCCAGGTGAGCCTCCAGAGCCTCTTCCAGCATTGTCCAACATCATAATTGTCTATCTACCCTGCGGCTGAGTGTGAGGTGGCTATGAGGTAGGAGACATCCTGGGCACATCTCCTGTCCTGCGTCCACATCTGCTCATGGCAGCCCAGGACCCTGGTGCAGTGAAATGCTCTCAAAAAATACCACTCAGAGGCTGGGGGCCAGGGGCTCACGCCTGTAATCCTAGCTACTCAGGAGGCTGAGACCTGAGGATCGAGGTTCAAAGCCAGTCTGGGCAGGGAAGTCCGTGAGACTCTTATCTCCAATAAACCACCAGAAAACCAGAAGTGGCGCTGTGGCTCAAGTGGTAGAGCACTCGCCTTGAGCTGAAGAGCTGAGGGACAGCACCCAAGCCCAGAGTTTAAGCCCCACGACCGACCAAAAAAACAAAACAAGACAAAAAATTACTGCTCAGAAATGCCCTCACCATGGCCTTTGTCAATGGCATAAAAAAAAAAAAAAACTCCCATCCCAGCCAACGCTTGGCTAAAACTTGACCTCAGTGAATGAACTGCGAAGAGACTGCACCCCACACAGACCCCAGGCCTGGAGCCATAATGATGCTTCCTCAGGCCAAGTCCAGATGTGTGCCAAGCACAAAGCAGCAACACTGGCTGGGAAGAAGAAAAAAAAAATCAACTGTTTGTTTTGCAGTGAATCTCCGTCGCAGGCGCCTGCGCCTCAGCCCCCAGGAAGCCCAGGGGGCAGGGGGCAGAATGCCGAGGCTCAGGGAGGTTGAGCTGCTTTGCTCCAGGTCCTCCGCCAGCAAAAGCAGCCCAGAGGGCTCTGACCCCAGGTAGTCACCCTGTGGAATCCCACCTCCCCCGTGAAGCACGGGATATTTTCTAACATGTCCACACGGCCTCTGAATTCATGCCAAAAGCCAACTCACGTAAAGCCCGTGGGACTGTACCCAGAAGGTGCCCAAGAGACCATCCTTGATGAATGAAAAAGCAAGTCGACTCTGCCTCTCCCATCACCTCTACCCACCTGGCTGGCCTGGGGCTAGCCTAAAAAGCCACCACCTTACACACACACACACACACACACACCAAGAATGGCCCTGCTGTGGAACCAGTGACTGAGTTCACTTAGGAATCAAGACAGAAAGCAGACAAGGGAGAGAGACAAGCCAGAGAGACTAACAATAAGAAGCAAGAGTTACAGAGGGCAGAGGGAGGCTTTCTTATCTGAGAGGATTGGGTCTTCACATGGCCCCAGCCACGTGGGGCTGAGTGAAACACCACACACCTAGCTGCCAGGTGACAGCCAGCATGTCGGTGGCTCCGCCCCCTGCTCCTCTTTCCTTCTCCTTCCCCACAGGAGTGCTGAGTGGAGGGGAAGCCTGTGGGGCAAATGTCTCCCCACATCTTCCTGCTCCTAGGCCTCTGATCCCACAGTGAGAGGCAAGCGGGACCAGTCTGGGGCTGGGGAAAAGGGGGAGCTCTAGAAGCTCAGGTCCCATCTCAGAGGTCCAGCCAGAGGGAATGTTGAAGGAGGGATGTAAATGCAAAGCCAGAGGCTGCCACCTGGACCCCAGGACCGTTCCCAGGGCAGCTGGGCGGCAGAATCTTGAGGCTGGCTGAGGCCGTGCAGGGGAGGGGGCCTCCCACCGGCAGACACGGCCACAGGTGTGTGCACGCCTTATTCCTGCAACTTCACAGCAGTCTGGGCCCTCCTGACTCCTGGGGACACTGGTGCTCAGAGACGGTGAGCCGCTTGTCCCAGTTCACACAGCGCATGCCTGGCTGGGCTGGGACTAGAACCAGGAGGCTGGCCGCCAGAGCCTGGTCTTACCTCTATGAGAAGAAGCCACCCCAGGCCAAAACTGGAGTCTTTTTCCCAACAGTGTCTGACTCAGTGAACTCTCAGCTGGAGCGAGCGGGGCCTGACCCCTGAGGCATACTCTATCCTCCTAGCCATTCTCCCTACAGGCAGCTGGGGACAGGCAGCTTGCCCAAGACTCTTTGAGACCCTGCCAGCCCGCTCCTGGCCAGTGCCTCTATGGCTCATTCACCTTCAACTTCCTCCTTCTCTGTGTGTCCCTGCTGGAGGCTGGGAGGATCCAGTGGACAAGGACATGGCCCTTGGTGTGTAACACACAGCCTGGTTCACTGCCCTGCCCGCCCCCCCAGTCCCTCTGTGGGGCCCATCCAGCCTCTGTGCACACACAATGCAGTCTCTGGCCTCCACGGAAGAGTCCTGGGGACTTTTAAAACCCATCCTCACCACCCTGGGTAGCAGACACCGGCTCTAACTGACCAATTCTGCCACTGGCCAGCTGTGAGCTAGTCTAGCGGCCTGAGACACAATAGGAAGTCCAGATGGGAGGCCCAGAGGCTCCCCTGGGCCTTCTCAAGTGTGGGCTTCCTTTCTTCGGGGTACTCTATGGGCAGCTGTGGGCTGCCTGGCTGTTCCAGGAAGAATAGGAGAGCAGGTAGAGGCCTTTTGAGAACCCCATCTTGTCACTCTGATACCAGGGAAAGCCTGAATCAGAGACTCAGGAGTTGGTCATCCCAGCCCTGTTTCCCTTCCATAAGGTCCTGGACAATGTCCTCTGTCACCCTCCCAGGGCTGAAGGTAAAGGGAAGAGAGAAGAGGTGCAGGAACACCCCCCCAGAACTGCAGGGGGTGGGATGGGGGTGTCCAGCTGGGTACAGAAGCCTTTCCCAGGAACAGAATTATCCAGCAAACTCACTCTCCCATGCAGAAGCCTAGAAAAAAAGCTCAAGGGACTGTGGGTAAAGAGTCTTGACTTCCTTGGGGGGGGGGGGGGGGACCACCAAATCATCCCAACAGCCCTCCATCTAGGTACATTGATATGTCTCAGACATATCAATGTGTTTGGCGAAGGTTCGGTGCCTCTTTCCCCTGAGCCTCAGTTTCCCCTTTTTAAAACAGGCTTCCTCTCTTAAAAGCTCCTAGGTAAACTCAACCCAGTACAGAGTGCAAGAGCAATGAATCTCTTTCCCAGCACAATAAGGGGTCCTGGGCCCTGCCTGGCAGACTAGTTTAACTCTCTCTACGTGGGGCAGGAGGCCTGCAATCCCTGCACACAGTAGGCTCACAATTCAAGTTTTCCTAGTAAGAGCATCTCAGAGCTCTCCTTTCCTCCTCCTGACGAGTCCGGGGCTGCCCCAACTTCACCCAGCTCCCCAGATCTGCCGGGCGGGGGGGTCTCTCCTACCTGGGACCGGCGGGCCGGGCCCCTGGCACGGCTCGGAGGGCTGCCGGAAAGCGCCTGCAGGTGCGGGGAGCCGCCGGTAGCCCCGGCTGCCGAGCCGCCCGGCGTCTGCGCCGTCCGCGCCGCGGGCTCCCGGGTCACTGCGCACAGATCCGGATCCTCCTCCTCTGCGCAGCTCGGGGCGCCGGGCTGGGCTCGGCTGGGAGAGGGGGAGCGCGAATTCGGGGCCCCATGGGTGGGCTCCGAGGGCTCAGCAGGGCTCGGGCGCTGGGCGGGCTCCGGCTCGCCGTCGCCGGCCCTGCCCTGCCCGGACCCCGGGGCCTCCGGTTGAGCCAGGTGCCCGGAGGCTTGGGGACGTTGGATACGGAGATTCCCCACCTGGGGCTCAGGCGCCAGGGCGGGGGGGGGGGGGGGGGGGGGGGGAGCCGGGATTGAAGAGCCGTCCGTGAAGCCTCCGGAGGCCTTTGCGGGGTGGGGTGGGGGGTGGCTGGGGTGCGAGACCCGGGATAGCGAAGCCGCCTGGCGGCCTACGCGACCTTCTCCTCGGGTCCCCGAGGGGGTCGCCCGGGTGGGGTACAGGGGTGCTGCGCGCCGGGCCCCGGAGCCCGGCCTCCTCCGCCGATCGCAGCTGCCGTAGCCGGCTCTGCGCAGGAGGGACGGCTCCCTTCTCCTCGCCCGGCGATGCCAGCCGCCGAAAGCGGAGCAGGCGTGTGGGAGGGGGCCTCGAACGCCGCCCCGGGGCTCCGCAGCTCCCAGCGCGCTTCGAGCCGGCGCCGCCCCCCACTTCACCCTCCCGGGCCCCCCAGGGAGGAGAACTTTCTGCCGGCCCCGTTCCTCTCTCTCTCTCTCTCTCCTCCGCAGACGACGCCCCTCTTTCCCCGCGCTGGGAAGTGGAGGTGGCGGAGATGCTCCCTAAAGTGACTGCAGCCTGCACAGCCCGGGGCGATGGCAGCGCCCGGCCGATCCGTCCGGAGCCCACCTGCCCGGGTCACCCGCCAGCAGCCAGTCCCGCCCGGGAGCCGCGCCCGCCCCGCCCCCGGGCCGCCCCCGCAGCGCCCAGCCAATCACCGGTGAGACCCTTGCGCCGACCACGCCCCCGAGGCCACGCCCCTCCCGCCCCTGCCGGGCGCAGGCTGCCGCTCCGCGTGCCACGGCGCGTGGGGCCGGGGCGAAGGGGGAACGGCCCGAGGCCTGGGGCGCGCGTGCACCGTGACCGGAAGGCGGCCCGCCCGCGCCTACGCCAGCACTCACCCGCACGCCCACCGGAGCGGGAGAGGGCCCGCCAGGGGTCCCCAGCCGCCAGTGCCCCGCCCACTTGGCTCCCAGATGCCAGTCCCCGAACCCGAGCTTCCTTCCCCGGACGCGGTGCCCGCGGGACCCCGTGGACCCGCACATGGGCAGCACACGTGCAGCCGCGAGGGGCGCGGAAGTCACCTAGGCCTCGCAGCCCGTGGATCTGCCGTGGCCTCCAGGGGTGTCCCTGGGCCCGGTCTGCAGACGATGCAGCCCAAGGCTGCAACGCTGAGCTGCAGCCACATCTCTTTCTTCTCAGGCCAGTGTCCAGGCCGGGCCAGGCATCCGTTCCTACTGTGCCCCGTCCACATGCCACTCACCTACTTGGAGTTTTATTTAATTCCAAGACGCCTGGCCGGGCGCAGGCGGCTTAAGCTGGTCATCCTAGCTACTCAGGAGGCTGAGATCCAAGGATGGTGATTTATCTCCAGATCAGCAAAAAGCTGGAAGTGTGGTTCAAATGGGAGAGAGCCAATCACGAGTGAAAAAAACTAAGGGGCAGCAGTCAGGCCCTGAATGTTAAGACCCAGTACTGCGCGCGCACACACACACGCACTATCCAAGATTCACTCTCCCTAGCACATTTTTCAGTCTCCTTGAATTTTGCTTCAAGCATCAGATATGCCTGTGAATAAGCACAAGGAAAACAAAGCAAGAGTGTCACACGTGCACTGAAAACTGGCTGGCCTATATAGCCCCCCCCCCATGCCTGGTAAATTGGACATGGTTTGGCAAGATGTTAAAGGCTCATTAGCACCCAATTGAGACTCTTCCCTGTAATCAGGAAGCTTAGCTGTGTAGAACAGTGAGGGAGTACAATGCTATTTGCCTCTCTTCCACAACCTTCTCATCCTCACCCCACCCCTACCTCGTGAGAAGAACTGGGGGCCTTGGAGACCCAAGCTGAGGGGCCGTCTCCACTGGATCAGAGATTGGGACTCTTGCCTCTGTAACCCATCAAGAATTTAGCCCTGGGTCCGTCATGCGACATCTCAGATGTTGGTGATTATCCATAAAATGGGTCTATTAACGCTTGGGATGTTGGGATGTCGCATTGAAATAAGGACACCAACATGAAAGAAACTCAGCAAGGCAAAGTTTACTTCTGCAGACACCCTGGGCCAAAAAATCTGGTAAGCAAGCATGTACAGCAGGCAAACTGTTCCCTAATCCAGTAGTCCCTGTTCACATAGGCTAAGCTCAGGTTCACAATCTGCAAAATGACGTGGCTTAATCAACTGCATGCAACTAAAATTCAAGGGGCTTCTAACAGGATGCTCTAAAGTACTCAGGAAAAGGATGTATGTAACTAAAATTTAATTAACAAGGGCCAAGTCACCTGGCCAAAGCAGGAACCCTTCAGAAAAACAATTCTCTCAAGACTAACAGAAAGGAAAACAAAGTACTTTGATAGAAAAGGTGCTTTTCTCACATAGGTTTGGAGCTTTGTGCCAGTGGCTCATACTTGTAATCCTAACCACTCAAGAAGCTGAGATCTGAGGATCCTGGTTCAAAGCTAGCCCAGGCAGGAAAATCCATGAGACTCCTAATCTCCAATTAACCATCAAAAAAGTCAGATATGGAGCTGTAGCACAAGTAGTAGGGTGCTAGTCCTATTGTTGCAACAAAAAAAGCAACATATCCGGGCACAGGTGGCTCACACTTGTAATCCTAGCTACTCAGGAGGCTGAGATCTGAGGATCGTGGTTCAAAGCCAGCTTGGGCAGGAGAGTCCATGAAACTCTTATCTCCAATAAACCACCAGAAAACTGGAAGCAGCGCTGTGGCTCACGTGGTAGAGCAGTAGCCTTGAGCTGAAGAGCACAGGGACAGACTCCCCCCCCCCCAAAAAAAAGCAACAACATGAGACACTGAGTTCAAGCCCCAGTCCTTATGCACACAGACACACAGACACAGGAACACGGTGGTTGGGACTGCTAGGTCCACAGAGCTATAAAATCACTAAAGTAGCCTTGGATTTACAAAGTGGCTTGCGCTGTTCATCCTTGGGTTACCTTGAGATTCTCCGGGGAAGATGCCGCAGGCACAAGTGGAGGACTAGAGTGACAGCGCACCCCAGGCCTCAGCTACTGTGTAATACCGCAGACCAGGCCTCCCAGGGGCCACGGGACATGCCCAAGGTCGCCCGCTGGCAAGTGGCAAGGACACCAGCCTGTGTGCTTCCAGAAGCCAGATTGACTTCTAGGAACTGGCCTCAGCCCAGAGGGTTCCAGCTCGGCTTGACTCAGAGGCTGTGAGCCTTGAACTGACTGTGGATTTGGCAAGGTTTACCTGGAAGGCTGGGGCCAGGAGGACTCAGCCTATTGCCTCCCCCCTCCACCTCCCCCCCCCCCCCCCCCCCCCCCCCGGCCCAATCGTAGTCACAGGAATGTGGCACATGGCTAGCTCGGAGCTGCTGCTTCCTCCTGCTTCAGAAGTGTCCTCCACTTGGGTAGGTCTTACCCTGATGACTCCATCCCTACCAGGAGGTCGCTGCGTGTGGCCTTGAAAGGAGCCCTGCCCAGCCCTGCCTTTGCCACCGCTGAGAGGAATGATTCCAATTCAACAGGCAGGTGCCACAGCTGGTCCACGCCCGAGGACACTTCACAGGTAACAGTGCACCGCCCGTGTTGCACCCATTTTCCCACCGTCCCCATTGAAGCACTGTGGCAGCTCGCTGGCACCCCTGGGGACCTCTCTAGGTCATCCACCAACACCACTTCAACCTCTTCTAAAAGGGCCACCCCGTGTAAGAATTTTTTTGTGTTCGGTCGTAGGGCTTGAACTCTGGGCCCGGGTGCTGTCCCTCAGCTCTTCACCACAAGGCGAGCGCTCTACCACTTGAGCTACAGTGCCACTTCCGGTTTTCGGAGTGGTTTATTGGAGATAAGAGTCTCTTGGACTTTCCTGCCTGGGCTGGCTCTGAACTGTGATCCTCAGATCTCAGTCTCCTAAATAGCTAGGATTACAGGTGTGAGCCACCAGTGCCTGGCTACTCTGTGTAAGAATTTTTAAGGGCTTCTTATTGCTTAAGATATAAAGTCTAATGCCAAGCACCAGTGGTTCACGCCTATAATCCTAGCTTCTCAGGAGGTTGAGATCTAAGGATCCTGGTTTGAAGCCAGCCCAGGGAGAAAAGTTCAGGAGACTCTAATTAACCAGTTTTGTTTTGTTTTGTTTTTTTAAAAAGGGAAATGTGGCTTAAGTGGTAGAGTACTAGCCTTGAGTGGATAAGCTAAGGGACTGTGTCCTGGCCCTGAGGAGGGAGGGAAAAGGAGAGGAGAGAAGAGAGAAATAAAGTCTAAACTTCTTAGCTGGCACAGAAAGCCTCCCACCAGGATTGTCCCCATGCCCTATCACCAGCCTGAATTTTGGCCAAATCAAACTACTTTCAACTTCACCCCTTCCAAGGAAGTTGGACTTCCCTTCCGCTAGGTTTCATGTATACTGCTCCATCTCTCCTCTCTGAGATACCCTTTTTCTCTATTTCTACCCATTAAACTCCTATATATCCTTTAAAGTACAGTGCTCACACATCGCCTCACAAAGCTTTCTCCCAGCTAATCTGATGGCATAAGCCCCATTATCACCTACACTACAGTGTGGCTCTTAAAGTCCCATTTCTTTATCTGTAAAGTAGGTATTAAAACAGTATAACTCAGCTGGGCACCAGGGGCTCACACTGTAATCCTAGCGACTCAGGAGACTGAGATCTGAGGATCACTCTTCAAAGCCAACCCAGGTAGGAAAGTCCATGAAATTCATCCCAATTAATCCCCAGAAAACTGAAAGTAAGCTGTGGCTCAAAGTAGTAGAGCACTAGTCTTGAGCAAAAGAGCTCAGGGACAGTGCCCAGGCCCTGAGTT